CGATCGACACCAGGCGAATGCCGGAGCAGTACCCTAACAAACGGGCCACGGACCAGGCACGAATCGTTCCTTCCTCTAACTTGTGCTATCTTCACTTCTTACTTACACATTCACTCGCAAGCACTACACTTTTCGGATGGCCAGTCTTAGATCGCGTTCCGACTGTGTCTGTGCCACCCTGGTGAGAAACACTTTGTTCATGAAAATCCCCACAAGCCGACGTAAGTCAACCTGAGATAGACGAACGAAACCAAAGAACGAAGTTTTTTTGTACCGTAGTTTAAATGAGATTTCGCGTTTTAATGGATAAAAATTTGGGGGTACAATGTGTAAGAAATAATGTGCTGAAAAGATCAGGAATTTGTGGTGACACACAAAGGCCAAAGTCGACACCCAACTTCAGCGCACGTAGTGAAGCGTCAACGTGCCTAAAAGGTATGAAATTACAAAAACATCGCCAGTTCGGTCGCGAGTGAGTTGTGTCTATCGCCAATCGCCTCTTTCGGAAACGACCCAATTTCCTCACGTTCTTTACGAGTCGCAAAAAGGGTGAATGTTGAGGATCAAATCGAAATACAGCGAACGACACGTTCTCGAGTGCATGTGGTGGCTGCGTCGCGCCGTCCGATTCGAACGGGAGCCTCCTGCCGTCTCGACGCCTTGACACCGTGACGTCAGCGTGGCGTCCTGCCACCTGCAGGTATCGATCTCTGGCATCCGCCGTGTCAGCGCAGGCTGCCTTTCCCGCCGCTACACAGTGGGCCCACTACTCTTCTTTGATTGATTGATTAGTGATTCCTGGCGCGTCAACTGCTAAGGTCATAAATCCCATAAGTGTAATGCATGTTTTTGCTCGGTGGAGGGGGAGGTGGTGGTGATCTTTCCCCGCAGAATGGTGAGGTCCGGCACCAACCTACATCGGCTAGCGGGGTATCCCCATCCAGGTATCTCCCACCGGTCTCCCGGCATGTCTGGCAGTGTAGTTCGTATCAGTATGTGTGTAAGTAAGGGGTGAGAATAGAAGGTAGGGGAAGGAATGAACGCACGCAGTTCATAGTTTGTTTGTTAGGGTACTGTTTCGTCATTCGCCTAGTGTTGATCAGAAAAAACACAGAAAAACTCTGACCAGATCAGCCGACAGATAGAATTCTCCTCCAGACAGCAACTGAATTCGTGTGTCGAAAATCTTGTCAACGTCGAGACACAAACCTAGGAATTCCGGGTCAGAGGCAAAGCAGCAACATCACTTCTCAGCTTTTTGAATGCCAATTTCCACTTGGCCAACGCTGGTGGCGGCGAGGTTTGAAGATCGCGCCTAACGCTAGAGTTATGATGGGTTGGAGGTTGCGGTTTTGTTTTAAGCCCGTGAAGGTGCCAGACATTGGATCAATGTTGAAATCCAGCGAGTCGGTGGCGCCGGTTGGGTGTCAATGTTAAAAGCTATGATAGGTGATAGATGTTCAGTATTTTTTAAACCTATTTTAGTAAAGTAAAGACGTATGTTTAAAACATGACAATTTTTTACTTGTAAGTAAACATAAAAATGTATCACAAAACAGTCGGGAACTAGAGAAAAATACTATATTTGAATACCCTCAGATTAACAGTGTTCTACAAAATAACAACATTTGAGATATATTACCTTCGTCGTTCACAGACACCAATTGATATATAGTATTTTTACAATTGCGGATTCGCTACTAACTTCAAAAAACCGAGTGTTCGTGGGAACGGCCCTCAACGGTGGAGTATTTCCGTTTCTCGTTAAGTGGCTAATGGAAGGCTACCCTCACGTCAATAACGATTATTTAGCTCGGCAGCTGAGAAAATCGTTTACGTGGTTCCTATTCATCAATTTGTAGTGGATGCAGGAGCGGCAACTTCAACAACGGGCCACGAGATCCGCCCTTCCCCGTCGAGTCCCACTTCTTTTGTTAGAGACAGATGAAACGTTGATACCCCATCTCTGCGAAGCCCATCTTGCCCAGTCAAGAATGACCTGTCGCTGCCACTAGTACAAGAATGTCAGGAACGGGCTCGAATTTGGCTAAAACCCGATGAAAATCAAAATGCAAGAGAAAACGGTAAACGAAGAGAGAATATCCAGTGCGTTCGTTACGAGGGTCGCTCTGCGAATAAGCGGTGTTGGAACTCTCCTTTTCAGAGCCGGGAACTCAAGAGTGCAGCCTAAGAATGGAACAAGTGCGACCTTGCCAAAAACGAGGAATTTCAGTAAAACATCACATCGATATTTACTCCATTGCGTCTCAGTGTATTTCACTAGCAGAACGGGCTGTTTAATTTATTTTTATTTAATTTAATTTGATTTGATTTCATGAAATAACTGTGTCGTATTGGGTACCAGTACAATTTGCACAAGATTTCTTTGGCTCCAAAATTCCAATTCCCACTCTTTTTCTTTACATAATTGAATGATGAATAAAAGTTCCAGCAAAGCGTAATTAGAAACATTTCAAAACTAGAAAAAAGGGCTATAAATTATAATGTCATTTACTATTGGATTCACGTATTTAAATTACACACGTACTAACATATTCGTATGTAAACGGAATAAACAACTTTCATTTGTGCACTTATTTGCTGCCTAAAATTTTATGCATCTTCCTTCTCTTGTTTTCTCTCCCTCTCTCCTCCCTCTCTCATCCATCTCTCTCCTCCCTCTCCCCCTGCCTCTCTTCCTCTCTCTCACACACACCAAGATGTGTTTCTCTTACACTATTCTTTCTTCCGTTTTCCAAAGCTCTATCTTGTTTGTTTAAAGAGAGACATCTCGAAGATGTTCTAATTGGCAAGTAATATGCAAAGTGTGTTTACAAGCGGCTTTATCTACTGACCTTGCCGACGAGTTTGCTTTCGACATTTTATCTTTATCTTTCTTATTAAATCATATATTCAAAGTCATTTGAATTTTTTTCCGGTCTAACGGAAATGGAAAGAAACTGCTCTCTAGTACAAGTAATCTCCTATTTGACATAATTTAATTCCATAGCATTAACTCTTCATTACGTCATCACATTAAAATTTAGAAAACAACTTTTGATTATAAATTTGGAAAAGAATATAATTTAAGATGCTGAATAATAACCTTTTATATCAATAATTGTCTGAAAATTGTCACGTACTTTCCAAGACAAAAACTTACACAAAAACCGTTATAAATCAGATAATGATTTCTTATCGATACTACCTTTTTATCTATTATAGCTATTTAAATCTCTGTTTCTTTAGTAGTTGTGCTTAACAATATAAACAACGGGTTTTAGTCTATTGGATTAAAAAAAATATTATTCACTTTAGCAAATTTTGTTTCTCAGCCAAGAAAATTTGCTTAGTACATCGCGATTGACCAAATAAATTACGTCTCTTAAACAACAAATATAAAATAGTGAATTCGTTTCATGTTCATTTCGAAAGCTTGAAACGTTAATCGTTTTAACAAAATTACAATATATAGGTATTTTGCTTATATTATCGCTTTTGTTTCGTGATGGTAACATAAAATAATGAATGACACACAAGAATAACAATATTTCATACAGTAATAAATATTTTTTTGTTCTCGGAAGCTAGACTCCCATCTCGTGAATAAAATCTCATTTTAATCCATTGTTCTACACATAATATTGACATTGAATGAAGTGAATTGCCCTTAGGAAATCTATGTAACATTCCACAGTTCCTTTACAAGAGTATCGGCAGCGCTAACCTTCGAGCTGGTAGGCATTGCTGACTGGGCAGCTGCCACCTCAAGGGTAAAGCGAAAACCGATTAGCGCTGCGAGAAGCCTAGTGCTGGCACGCGCTCAAAGGCAGCCGAAGCGTGTTGTGTTCACAAGTCCCGAAATATTCAGTCGTTGGCTACAAGACCAATTAACGGAATTGCGTGTAATGAGGCGGAGCATAACTGGCCTCCCCAGCGACGCTTGGCGTTCACGAGGGCAAATTGAATTGGTAAACACTAGCGGAATTATTGCCACCTCCGTTCACATTGCTCGATATCAAGCCCCACAAGCACACAGCGTAAACAGGCAAACCTCGGGTTGCAGATGAACTAGTTTTCTATACGATTCAGTTTTGGACATATTTTTTTCGTTATCCGTTTGGTTCTTGTTCATTAAATAATAGTTTATATCAAACGTTTCCTTATACAAGAAAATAAAATATATTTTTAACTAACATTCTCATTACATTTTAATATAAATGAATGAATTATTTTTAATCGATTAAGAATTTTACATTATCGATCGATATTACAACGATTAAAAATTCTACAACTCATCAACATTTGTTCATGAAAAATAGGTACTTTGTGAACAAAATCCTTGTGAAAGCCGGTGAATGCTGAAAGTGTCCAGATGAGTTTAAATGATGATTGCTAAACAAGTGGAGTGAAATTTATTAATGTCTTGTCACTGGGCTCACTGTAATTTGAACAAATTTTTGTATTGTTTATTAATAAAGGTGTAGTTCTTGAAATAAAAAATAATGTTCAATAATACGTGTGTTTCTATTTCAGAATAAATTGATATTACCTATTAATTATTTTTAATAAAATATCAACATATCCATTATTTGGGAGTAGTAATTTCGGTTCAATTTCGCTAATGATCAGATTGCACTAAACTTTCTCTTCTCTCTAATGATACATGGGTATTTATTATTTTTGAAACTAAATTGCAAAATAATTGTATAATATCAATAAACTCCTACCTTACTATTAGAAGACTGGTCCGAAAAACCACCATACATTGACTTTCTAATTACACTGTCTACACACTGAAATGATTATGATGTAGACCACGTGAACTTCCCTACGTTATGACATTACTTTGAGATTCCTTGGATGCCCGCAGTTTAGTGTACGTTAAGAGAAATTACAGCTCGCTGCGAGAAGTGACTATTCTATGAACCGAAACTAAAACCAGCGTTTATTCCGTGCATTTATAATCACAAAAACTTCCAGTGGCACGGAAACAGAGAAGTAGTTGAGTGTTGCTGTCCGGTAGAAGTGACGGCGTATGGTAGTGACTGGATTCCGTTTTGTTGCATCAGGAATTATCAAGACACTGCATTGTGACTGTAAATTTGATCGTTAAAATAAAAAGTGATTTAATACTGCAATGAAATTTGTTTATGCTAGACCGAGAAAAAATTATAGGCAGCCGGACGATGGTAAGCAATATGCAAAGTATATAAAATTTAATTTACTTTCGATACTCGATTCGATTAATTCGATTACTTTCGATAAGTGTTTTGTGAAATTATGTTTAGAATATCTTTTGGATAAATTGTTTATTTTTATGATGGCATGAGGGAACTCTTTGCACATTTTGGAATTCCTTCCTCTTGGAAATATAATAATTGTATTTGTACACAACTGGAATGAAATGGCCAAAAATGCTCAAATGTTAAAAAACACGATACGAAAACAAACACACATAGAGCGTATTTTTACAATAGATTTTGTTTAAGGCAAGATCCTCCACCTTTAACTTTGTAGTTGTGAAATTTTAAAACTTTCAAAATTCGAAATGTTCAAAATGTTTGAATTTTCAAAATACAAAGAGTTCAGCCAAAATGAGAGTAGTATTAGTTTTTTATTGGCCTCTGGTTTTCAGGAAGAGAAAATTTAGAGAAATAATTTGGATTCGTTTTAGAGAATGTAATAATTATCCTTCAAAAATGTTTTTAAATTGTCTATATTGCCCACAAATTTATGCGCATTTTCGAAAAAGTGCACATAATCTTATTTCATGACGTATTTAAAGAACAAATTTTATTAACGAAAATTAAAATGTCTTAAGTATATTATATGCTATTCGTGGACAAAATTTAATCAAAAAATTTGGAGCTATTTTTTTAGAAAATATTGAAACTGTTTCTGAGTTTTCATAATGTTCGAAACTATCCCCAAAAATCAAAATATCAGTTTCAAACTCAGTGTTTCCAGTTAATTTAAATCGGTTTCGTAATATCACTTTTGAAGGAAATCAGCTACGCGGAAATTAACTACAGACGGACGGACTGACGGACGTTCTGCCATCGATTTTTGGGTATCAAGGACCCATAAAAAACACGGATTCTGACACAATACGTGTTAATGGAAGTAATTTACTGTACATAGGAAGAAGATTTATCCAGTTTGTCGTTGGTGGGGCCCGGCAATAAGAATTCTTTCTTGCGCAAATTTGTCATTTTTAGGCGCACGATTACAATACTTCCTCTTCTCACGAAGTAGGGAGAGAAAGTAAAAGTTAGTAAGGCTGTCTAAACGACAAACGTTGTACAAGTGACTTTATTTTGCGCATAGGATTGCGCCACTTGGCCTCGTGGCGGAACCTTTCCTAGACGCTATCCAAAATGTCACTTTTACCACTCGTTTCGTAAGTAACTATTTTTGCTAATAACTGTGCTTTCTACAAACAAATGCGTCTTTGATCCACCAAGCCCTCTCAACTCGTTTGAATGTATTTTTTACTGTGCGAAGTATCTTAGAATTGTGCCCTTCGTCCGTCATGATTTTGAATTTCCCCGTCTGTGGGGCGTACATGTGGGCAGCAGACCATCTCATCACAAGAGACAGGAAAAATGTGCTGTATGAAACGTCAAAATACGTACATAAATATGTAATGAAAACAGTAAAAATAGGTAATAAATATGAAAATCGGAAATAATATGAAATATTAAAATACTTATTCTAAAGCACATTTACATAAAACAAAAAAATGTAAAAATATATCCTAAACAAATTTTAAAAACAATAAAATACGTTTTAAAATTCATTTAGAGAGCACAAGTTTATGAACACTTCTAACCATACAACTTTATTGTCTGTAGTAAAAATTTCATCTATTGTTATCGAGGACAGTAGTTTAAAAGCTAGACCGTGGTTCATAGCAATGTAATATGTACTTCAAGCAATACAAGCCATCGTACAAACTGGCAATATCTACGACCATCAACCAACCACTCCAGCATGCAACATTCTCATCAAAGTGTTAAATGTCTGCGATCGCCAAAATTTTTCGGAAATTAAGGTTAAAGGTCACTAAATGGTGTCAATAATATATTTCACACCAAGATTTCACCAACAATGTCAGAATTGTTTTGTAAAAAAACTTATTTTCATAAAGAACGTGTAAAAAATTGAAAAATGGACAGAATAAAAAATAATTTGTGAAATTAGCAAAAATATGTACTCGTACTGTAGTGCTAAATATATAAAAATATGCAACGAAAAAATTGGATATTGTGTCAGGAGAGCGACTATTCACGATGATTACAATTTTGAAAACGGTAAGTAGAAAAACAAAAATATGTAATTACGTAACAATTCAGTTTCACTCATTAGCCATCATCAACGCGGTGTTTTCATTTACATGGATTTGCGTAGAACCACACGCATCACTATTCAATCCAATATTATGGAAATGGATATGCTTTATTTGATTATTTACTTAGGAACTTCTTTTGAGATACAAGATGGGCATAAAAACTGTTAAATGGACATTTTTACATTTCAGCTGCAATAAAGCCAACAAGAAAACATACGTTCGTTTTACATATTACATTTCTGAAAATATTTCAAATGAGTCTTAATGAATTAAACATATTATTGTACTTTTAAAGAATGTTCTACAATATCACAGTAAGAAGTAAAAATAGCACAAACGTGTGCTTAATCTCTCAAGCATCAATTCCGAATGCTGCACTATTTCGAAGCGTCCAAAAATATTCATATTTACGTCAGTCATGACGCCCACGTCATGTTATCGCAAAGTTGACCCGCATCATTTCCACAGGCGACAAAATACGACTCGCTTCTCCGTCCCAGCACGTCTCCCGCTCCGTCCCCCGCCTCTTCCCCGTCTCGTCTCTTCCCCGTCTCGTCCCCTTCCCCGTCTCGTCCCCTTCCCCGTCTCGTCCCCTTCCCCGTCTCGTCTCTTCCCCGTCTCGTCTCTTCCCCATTCCCTCTGCCCAGTCCCTGCTCCACTGGTAGTAAAAGAGGCTTGGCGTGGAGCCGCTCGCCGCCGAGAATGCTTATCTTATCTGCACGTGGAGAGAGGTCAAGCGAATTAGCGCAACGGCGGCGGCAGGAACGCGTGTGTGAATTTCGGCGCTGCCGGGGTAAGGTGGTCAGCGCCAGGTAGTGGAACGCAGCACAGAGGTGCCCAGGTGGCGCTCTCTCAGGGCACTGCTCTCGGGCCCCAGCCTTCCGCGCAAGCACCTGAACCTATTTCTTCCAAAATATAAAAGAAATTCCCTACAAACAGATGTGAAAATACAATTATACTCACTGATAGGTAGTCAAGGCAACTCCCACTATGGTTTCACAATATTTAAATAATTACGAAGGTCATCACTCACCTCGGTTTTTCCTGTCTAGGGAGATGCAGCGAAACGCACATTCAAAAAAATATAAACGGAGCAAAATAAATATAATAAATATTTTGGACGTGTGATGATGACCTTTGTTGCAGTTCAAGTAAAGTAGAAATGAATGCCAAATATAAAACCAAAATAACTACATTAGTAACATAAAAATATAAAGATATTAAAAATGCAGGTTGCGTCAAAAATGTCATTCTATTTATCACCGGAAAAACAATTACAGTTAATTAATAATACTCAAAATTTAAATTATGTCATCTTTAGAAAGGACACCTCGTGTAGAATACAAATAAGTTTCAATATTAATTCTCATTATCAAAACTTTTTGCTACACAAACATGCAGGTACAATACGATGTAATAATTACACTAGAAGTTAAATGAATGTCGGCACTGCCTATTCTTTCCCTTAATTCATATGATTTCCCAATCAACATTCTGCTCGTATTAAAAGTACGTGATTCTCTAAACTTTTAAAAAATTGTTATCAATGTCGTCGTACGCCTGAAAAGAACTGTAATTTTTTGGCGATTCGCTTTGGTCTAACAACTAAAATAGCTGTGGAAAAGCATCTGGTCATCGATGGATGGACGATACGCACGCAAACTAATAACAATTTGGGGTTCTAAATATTTTACCCCAAAACTGGACAATTAATTGTTTGACGTCTTCTTTTACGTGGCGAGACTCAGGCCATCAGGCCCACTCTTCCGCTCTTCTTAATAAACAGCCGAGATATATTCATAAAACAATTAGAAGATTGCAATGGAATTGTTAAGGTCGTCGACCGAGCCAACCGACCGCACACAGTGACTCTACTGGCCACAGCGGTGCACGGTGATATGCGCGTTCCTAGACAGAGCTGCGGACATAATCTTGGGAGTTTCCGGCCATGCATGGAGAAAAGCACCATTCGCTCATGTATGAACTTGAGTGAAACGGTGCAGTGTTTTTGAGTGCGCTTTGATTCTTGAGTGTTGATTTGGATGTATTGTCAGCGTTCTATTAACTGCCAAACATTATGTGAAAACTTTAAGAAGATAACGTTGTTTTCTTGAAATAAAACTTACTTCATACCTGCCGACCTAGATCACAGTTATTGAATTTGATAACTAAAGTTACCGGGAATTTACACCAGGTTCTTGAAGGTGGCTTGTTGTAAAGTTTACAAGTGTGATTATCGAAGGACGAGGCAAAATTCTTTTGAAAATAATGGGTAAGGTCGACAAAATATGCGAAAAAATATTTTTGGGTCTTTAATGGATTTTGTAAAAATTGTGTCCTTATAAAACTACCGAAATCTCTGAAGAATATTTCCTCTCGTGTTGATCGCAGTCCAACACATTTTAGTTTTAACTCCCCGAATTAAACTCCATCTTACGTCCGTGATCACAGGAAGAATAGATCAATAAAGGTGTAAGATTTTCAGAAGACGTAATAAAACGAAAGTGGAAAAATACTACCATAAAAATTAGCATTGTGTTGACGTAACAAAAGGAACGAAATACTTAATCTTTAAGGGTCTTCAGAGAGATAGGCCCGGATGAAACATTTTTGTTTTTGACTGATTGATGCAATTATTTGGTGGTGTCATTCCATCTATTCTCATACTAGACGTACCGACTGAATTCCCATACTCAGTGAGTAATTGATTGCAACACACTTTACGCCATACGACCGCAAGGCTCCAAGGAAGAGATCGACCGCCATTAAATATTTGCCACTTATATATGGTGGAACAGCAACTTTTTTCGTATTCTTGTTATAGAAAGTACTATTGCT